AACTTTCTTCTGCCCACGGCCTCAGGCTGTGTAACCAATCCATCCATGTTTTCGCAATGCTGTAGGGCAGAGCATGACCTTGGCTTGCTGGGACACTTGAAGGGGCTGTCTTTGCATGCTGGTGGCTGGTGTTGGGCATAAAGCTTTTCAAATGCTAAAAGGCTGTCCAGGCGTGGCACATCTTGGTGAGGAGAGCATGATAAACATCAAGCCGCTTTTTAAACCCTGTATAGTATCCAACAAATCATATCAAACGTTCTGCGCGATAGAAGCCTTACACAATAAGCGGAGTCTCAAACCCTAACCACTGAAAGTCTTGAAAACTGAACTGTTGTCGAGCCTGCCACCAAACCCCGGAACCCAGCCGCATACAGCAAGGTTCCCCTGTCTATCGAGGAGCAGCTGTAATACAATGTTGCGCAACATGACTAAATCATTCCACTCACTTCTCATAACACTTGCTACTCTACGATGCCTGAGGTCCCCTGCCCGGCTTTCCTCAGCGGCGTTTCTTTTTGCCCCCGCCACGTTTGTCGCGTCGGGCCTTCGGGGTTTCTTCAAAGTCAGGTGAACCAGTCCTCCAATCACAGCATCAGCAGTGCAGCAAACATAGGATCAAGGGCTCTACTGGCAAGGAAATGGGGAAGACATTCGTGCGCTCTAAGCCATGGTAACAAATACTTGCCTGACAAGCGCCAATCCTCCGAGTTATGCATCGCCAAAGCTGAGTGCCCGTCGCGTTCATCGCCTGCGTCGCCATCGTCGTCCTTCCTGGGTCCAAGCATGCTGAAAGACTGGGTGCAAAGTAGCAGGTGTGAGATCTGGGTCAAGGACTTGTGGTGCAAGAAATTGTCAAGGCTAGGGTTGCAACATTTCCAGGCTGCGGAGGGGAGGCGTGGGCAGTTCATGGCTCTGGCAGCCATGACAATGAACGGGCACAAGATTCGCGGAGGCATCCGGCGAATTTCCGCCAGTCCTGCTTAGAGCATGAGGCTCGGGCGCTTCCTTGTCCTCGTCTTCGTCATCCCCGCCTAAGGCCTCCCAAGTCGATGCAGAAAGCTATGAGATGTAGATTTCTCTTATCTGAGGATCCAGTCCACTTGTCGGGTCCCAACAGGAGGCTCGTTACAGGCCCAAAGTTTTACAGCAACGCATTCACACGGAAGTGCATACTTACGACTTTGTTCGACGCATCATAGAAGCCAGCAGACAGCAAAAGCCGCCTCTTAATTCTGAGCCCAGCATCTCCCGACTGCAGGAGCCGCAAAAATGTTAGACGCGTACAAGGGCCGTTGCACTTTGAACCCACGTCACATGCAGGAACTCACATGAGTAATGTTTTGTGGTCTTCTTATCAAATACTATCACCAAAAGGAGGATGTCACCTAACACTCTATCAGGACTAAGTAAGCCACTAGAACTATTACTCACATGAGCTATGGTCTAAACTCCTAGTAACCCCCTTAATCACCCCTACAGTAGCCCCCTATATACTGCCCTATATAACCCCCTTTACGGAGTCTTGACTAGAGCTCCAATGCCTTGGTGCTTGCAGTCTGGCGCCGTGCCTCGCTCACGAGGTCCCACAGAGCCTTGCCAGAACGCAGGCATGACTATTGGCCCCTTAGGGGCTTAGGGTTTACCTAGACCCTCCAATGTAGTTCCTTTTTGGGTTTGGTATGGTTTTTTGGGTTAGGCCTCTTATTAGGACTACCCAAAACGTACTACATTTGAGGGTCTAGGTAGGGTCCCAACAGGAGGACAGGAGGATTTTGGTAACTCCAAGTGCCAAAAGTCAGGACGCTAAATAGCTATCATATGACTAGTCTGGAGTCCTAATGTTCGGGGTTGGGTTACCAAAGCCCGTTTATTCTTTATATTTCTGTAGAGTCCTGAAGCTCTGATGCCGGGCGCCTTCCGAAGGCCTGGGCTTTGGAAGAAAAGCGCGGAGAAGAGCGCCAGCCTTCTGACTGGGTTGTTGTTAAGGGTAGCATTTTCATTGGCATACACGATTTAAGATTTTATAGGGTTTAGGGTTAACTTACCAAAGCTAAGAACCACATGGAAAAGACATGGAAACTCCAGGAGAAACTGGGATTATACATGGGCCATACATGTGACCCACATAGATGGGTGCTAAAGTAATAAGTATAGTTTCGTCATACTGACACTTAATCTAAGGTCCTTAACAGCCCAGCTGAAGCTCCATGGTAATCTTGCTGGGGCTTAGTTTTGCCATGGAAGACTACATGGACATGACTTGAGGGTTTAGATTGGAATGGAATGGAATTGCATGGAAAGAAAACGCCCACTGTGACAGGGTTTAGGGTAAGGCTTTCCAAACCTCCCACAGTGCTGATGGCGTGCTGAAGCCCAACAACTTCTGCGCCCCCAAAACGTGAAACCACGTGCATGTTGGAGCCTGAGTACTTACCTGGACCCCCAAAAGTAGGTAAAACAGCGGCTGCAAACAGTTATTTATTGTTTTGAAAAACACAAGCCCTGCATCCGAAATCCCAAAACCGAGCCCCCTACGCCAGGACGAGGACCACAAAGAAAAATCTGGCATAAGCAGGCTGGCAGATCTGGGGTGGGACGCAGGGCTCTTCCGACTTGGCTTATTGGATCTTGTTATGGGCTAATTATTCATGTACCTCCAAGCAGCAAAATGTTTTTTTCGTATGTCAGAGTTCTAACAAGGCAGGCCAACCCTGTCACAGCATCACCATCCATGATCCAAAGCGCTCTTTTGCGGCTTGGGAAACCGTCTACTGTAGAAGTCTGACGAGCTAGACTAGGCATCTTTAGGAAAGTAGGGAAAGGCTCTCAATATCTAATGTCTTCTGAAAACTTTCTCGGTTCAAAGCTGCAAAGATGAGGATTCCAGGATTGAAGGTTGGAGGTGTTGCTACACAAGTCGGACTAGGGTCAACATATTGAGGTAGTGGAGTTGGGTGTGAGTGGGAGGACAAGAAGAAAGTTGCTTCACACGCGGGTAAGGTTTGGGGTCTGCATGCATCGTTCACATGATGATGTGGAAATCCGTGCCTTTGGACACCCCAAAAATGTGTTTGGCACAGATCATGGTGCCCAGGGTTTGATGATGCTCGGCTCATGCTGTCACATGCCGGAGTTCTTGTCTGAAGCAGCTGCAGATAGAGATGCAGCATGCACCCAAAGTCAACTGACCACCTCCGTGCAATAGTCACTAAGCGCCCCACAAAGTCCAAGGAGGAATGAACACCAGCAGTACTGTCATGCGTAGGCATATTCCACAAAGGCGGTCTAAACTCCACATCATCATCTTGACACACACACACACCCGCATGAAGACATACAAACAAGCAAGGCTGCAAGACGCAAGCCTCATGAGGCTGCTTGGACAAATGCTCTGCATGGAAGAAGACGTTCTGACACTCCACAAAGCATCATCCCACAAACTAGAACACGGCGTCGTGATAGTACAGAAGGTGTTCAGCCAGTGGAGAACAAGAGCCACTATGCCATTGGTTACGCTGAAGATGGAAGACGGTTTCCATCCCCTCCATAACTTTATCCGCGGTCTGCGACTGCACCATACAGTCTCTGCGATGCTCACTCCTAGGGTTGCATTGAAGGATGCTGAAGACTCGGGGGATGGGACGGGGAGTGTTTCCAGAGAGCCCAAGACCCGGCCATGCCATCCCGGTGCAATTACTAGATTAATCATCGCTCCGCCCCACCACAGGTTGAATTGTGGGTCATAGCTTGTCAGCCTATCGGCTGCTGGGTGCCCTGGGACATCGCCAGTCCCTGCACTTCCAGCTGCAGAGCTTCGGCTGGGCTTCCATGACCACACCTACTTTGCTAATTAGAGGCAGGCAGATACATGCATGTGTCGAGTTCCGAGACTTCCCATCATAGCATCAGTCGTTTAACATGTGGGAAGGGCATGTGCTGGAACAGGTCTGCCATAATACCGACGACAAGTACAGCAAGACGAGGCCCCAATCAAGCCGTTATGATCGATTCAGCAGGTAATAGTAATAATAACAATAATAATAACAAAAATAATAACAACAATAGTAATAATAGTAATAATAATAATTATAGTAATAGTAATAGTAATAGGGGTCGTGCAGCCTGCTCCTGCTCTCTGTACGATCTGGGAGATCATCCTACAGCTTCAGGATACCTTCACTGACCTAAACATTCAGGGCTGGTTCAAAGTAGGACAATAAACAGCTCCTAAGTATTTCAGCCCAAGAACCAGTCACACTACTAGCCCACTGAAAGTGTGCCACAGGTACGTCCTGGCGGTTAGGGCCGACTAACTAACTTGCAAAACCTTCCCATACTGGTAACTTGTACCTATCTATGCGGAACCAAACAGACCTGCCATTCAAAACATGCACGAATTGATCAGCCTCGGTGAGGCAACTAGATTGCAGTGAAATTCAGGCGCGCAGGCACCGGCAATGAATCACAATGTTTCCATGCTGTACCAAGTCTTGAATACGATGGTTCCTAGGTTCAGGAGTAGGAGTAGCTGCATGCAGCCCACCATCTACGCATGGGCTACTCTAGAGCTCACTGTCATCTCATACCCAAGGGTTGCAGACCTACGCAGCGTCCCCATTCAGAGGCTCTCAGAGCCTGCTAGCGCGCCACAGCAACCTCACGGACTTGGGGCGTAAGGTTGTATGAGCCATAGTCTAAACTCCTAGTATTCCCCCTTAATAACCCCTATAGAACTCCCCTATATGATGTTTAGACTATACCTCCTATAGAGCTAACAGCTAAGGGTTTGGGCTGAGGGTTTGCAGTTTCGGGCTTGGGGTTTAGCATTGAAAGATAAGACTATATGACAACAAAGAACCTGAGCTGAGCGGATATTGCAGGATCCTTGATGTGCATGAGGTCCCTGAAGCATTCAAACAACTTCAGTATGGGGCTTCCCTGCACGTCTCCTGTACATCAGCTGACGCTCCAGCATTCTAGCGTTCTGACAATGGGTAGGCCTCCGCTGGCAGGTTCTTCGAAGCCGCAACCTTGGAGGAAAACAATCCGAATAAATTGGCGAACATTGAGAAACTTTCCCATAGTAACCATAGTATGAACCAGAACTCTGACGAAGCACAAACGTGAGAGTTTTCTGTATGATGGCATTCAGGACATGTTAGCCCTGCAGACGGGTTTCAAGATTTTAGATCGGTGGCTGCAGGAGCTCCTGACCAGCCTGTCACGACACAAAGCCTGTTCCAATGCATATCAACTGCTGAATGTTCATCCTAAAACGTAGTTTCCAAAATTCGGCGTTCTGCGCAATGCCCCCTACCAACAAAAGGGCCAAAACCTCCTCCATCCGCAATCCCTAAACCCTAAACCCGAACCGATGATGCATGACAGTGCTGGGGCTTGACGCTTAGCACCGCGCGGGAGCAGCGTCGCCTCTGCTGCACGTGCACTTCCTGGCTGTGAGTGTCATGATTGGTCGGTTTAGGGTTTCAGGGCCTATAGGCTAAGGTTTGGGGTTTACAGGGCCCCTTAAAGGAGCCTAACAGACCCCCATGGGGCCGTAATCATCTGTATATGGGCCCCAATAGCTCATAATCGTGGGCTTTGCGAGGGTTAATACCTGGGCCAGTGTTCTGTGCGTTTCTGTCGAAGGCCTCCGCTGCTGATGGGTCAGTCTTCGCCAGCCTCCTGCATTCCTACGCAGCTCCCTAGCACAGTGCAAATCTAGCCTCTCAACTGATAGTCCCCCTCAAGTAGATAGAATATGGGGTACTATCGAATTAAGGGGGACTATACGCGGTAACAGTCCGGTATCGATTCCCTGCACCACTGAGGAACGTCATCTCAACACCCCAGCTATTTACGGCACACAATATCTCCGGTGCCGCGAAGCATCCTAAATTCCGGCCATGTTTCCAGATGTTTCCAGAACCATGGTCCCACTCACTGATACACCCAACAAAAGCCCCGGATCCACCATGATTTGAGGAGCCGAAAGATGGGCCCAGTACCTTGAGTGGAGCTCTCCTTTAGAGCATCCCACAAAAGACATAAAAGTTTGACAAAAAACATGGGAGGTCAATGGGCAGTTAGCGGTATGCCGTGCGATGTGTACCTTACTTAGCATATACCCGACATCCCTCTACTTTTTAAGCAGAACTGCACCTACGAGTCCCAACATTCAATTGCTATATGCCCGCTGAAAGCTACCAGGCTAATTCCCAAAATTATGGGCCCCTCTCGGTTACAAATTATAACGGCACCTAATATTTGGGGTACCAAAATTGGACCCTAATTTTGGGAACTACTCACCAAGGAACCTCTAAGACAATTGACGCTCCCTTGTGGCCTCCTTGTCCTTGCTTCGGGCACGTCCTCACTGCTCACTTGATTGGATGCGCCAGAAAAGTTCGCGGTTTCAGGGCTTTGGGTGAAGGAATCTAGGGTTTCGGGTGAATAGGGTTGTCTCAAAAAGTAGAAATCGTGGAAGTCTATACAACTTGGCATCGGGGTGCTCAGCAGTCACCACTTCAATGCAGTTCTAGAGCGGACTTGGAGGTAGCCCCTCAAGGCAAAACTTGCCAAGGTTAGAAGACTACTACGTAGGGAAGCAAGCACCCACTTCTTCAGCGGTATGCTGATGAAAGCTAGCACTAACGATAAGATACACCTCAGTAATGCAATAAAACGGCCTGAGACTTTGGACCGTAGAGGCCTGTGGACCCTTGGCAACAAAAATTGACCATAAGATGCCCGACTTACATATCTGCTATAGCCAGCAGCCCAGAGGGCTGGCCTCCAAACCCCAGGCCCAAATTGGCATCAGCAACCCACCTTCAAACCTCAACGACTACAGGGGCCTAAATAATTACCAATATCATGTTGAGGTCCATTTGAGGTACCACCTACTATAGACTATAATTCTACAAGGAATATGGAACCATAATATTGGCAAATATTTAGGCCCCTATACTATGCCTCCCCCCCTTTAGAAGCACAGCGTCCTCCCTGGCGACATGGGGTTGGCAAAGCCAGGACACTGCTTGCCTGCGCTAGACATAGGTACTGTACCCTCCCACCAAAGCAAGACCTAGACTGGTGCTTGACTTACTGGTTCTTAGGGAATAAGGGCCCCTAAGGGAGGATATTCCATAGATTTTTTTTTGAGAAAATATTCGCTGGTAACTATACCCGTAAGTTGACGGGATAAGGGGAGTGCATCGAACTAGAGGAATAACATGCCGGGATTATCTCGGGATTGTTATAAGTGCTCGCCCCCTCACTCATTCTTTGAGCAAGGCGAGGGGATGGAGGGTTTCATAGGCATGCTCGTTGATTCTAAGCTTACAGCGTGCAAAGCCATGTGACCCCCTACGAAAGGCCAGTCATAGCAAGGATCCTGGCGGTGAGGGCACAGTGGAAGCCTGGACTTTTGGCACTTTCCAGTCCGGGCCCTGAGCGTGAGTGACTATTGTAAAAGTTGCCTCCAAGCGCTGTCAAAGGCTGTTGAAAGATTATCCGGGAAGGTTCTTACAACCAGAGCCCATAGAGATCTGACAAATATGTAAGGTTCAGTGGAGAGACAATGAGGGGGCTTATTGGCCTTCGTGTTGCATTTCGAACTTTTTGTAGGGAGCATTTTGGAAAACTTTGCATCACTTCAGGTCCTTAGTAGCATTGGAAACACCAGGAAGTCTTAGGATGGTGCAGAATTTCTTCCACCAACAATATGTGTACCATTGTCTAAACTCCGAGTATCCCCCTTAATAACCCCTATAGTAGTCCCCTATATAATCCCCTATATAACCTCTTTAAGGAGTTTAGACTATAGCTCATGTAGTTAACGGGACGCTTCGGGTTCAGAAGGCCTCCAAAGGCTTGGTGGTCGCCACTGTCACGTTTGCGGCTGCGGCTTCTGATGCTGGCTCCTGTACAGGTGCAGAATCTCTGATAGCCTAGGGTTTAGGGTTTAGGGTCTGGGGTGTAGGGTTTAGGGTTTAGGGATGAATTGGGGCTAGGTCAGGACAGGACGTTGGGCTTTGAAAGCTGAGGGTTGCCAGGCTGTATTTTGAGTTTAGGCTTTTGGGTGCTTATTAATGGTGTGAGCTGGTGGTCAGGCTTTCCTTAAATCTACCCATCTTTGTATGCTGTTTGTTGGGGGTTGTCAGTTAGTGACCCACAGAGAAGTTTGGGCGTGCATGCTGAGGGCTGGAGTTCGCATGTTTGCAAACCGTTGGCAATCAAAAACAAGAGACTAACACCCATGACTGGTAATTATTCCATACCCACCCAGCTTCTTATCGTTTGCAATTACTAGGCTCGACCTGCCTGAAAGCCTCAAACGCTGCGTTCTACATCTGACCATTCGGGGATCTCTCAATTTGTAGGAAATGGGAGGGATCTACTCCCTATGTAATTTCTATATAATGTATTTCCTTATTCCCTACTAACCCCCAGTAAGTGAGAATAGCACTGCAGCAATCCGACCTTCAGGGTCACCACTGGCGTGCTCACAACCTTGACAAGGGCTGCAGGGTTCTGCTGCAAATCTTAAACGTAGAAACTCACACTTGCTAAAGGGCAAAAGTCTTTGTAGGGCTTCTTTGGGCCTTCCATCTCAGTTTTGGGCAAGGGACTTTAAGTATACGTGCGTAAACTTAGGGCCGGGAGAGCTTCAACGGTGTGAAGTGTCCCACGTGCTGAGCTCGCTAAGCAAAAGCCCTAGCCAACGCTGTAACACACACGCTAGAAATCTGAATCCCAAATTCCCCGAAATCATTCCACAGAATCTCCATATATACCCTGCTCTAGGAGGTACTCCCCACATCCCTGACTTCAGAAGCCCTGAACCAGGGCCCAGGCTGGTGTGCTGCGGCGGTGGACTGCGCAGGGCTTTTGGTTCTACACTCGGGGTTCAGGGACGCGGGTTAGGGTTTAGGGTTTCGGGTGGTCTCGTTGGTTGAATCCGCTGTACCATATTAGGTTGGACGTAAAAGCTCAACACCGTTGATGCGGCTTTAACCCTAAGGCTCCCAACCGTCAGGTTTTCGGTACGACTATCATGAAGAGTGCCTCAACCCCACTATTTGGGACCTAAGTACCCATCATTTTGGACCCACAAACCATTTTTGGGTAACCTAAAGCCCTAACTTATTTCGAGACTCAGACTGAGACTTAGATGCTTCGGCTTAGAAGCTCCAAGATGCGCCTGCGCTTCGGATGACTGTGGGACGCTCCACAGCTGTAAGCCTCACAAGGGACGATACGTTGTGATTGTGTGGTTGAATCTGTAGATGTCATGCGGAAAATCATGCTTCCTCTGGCTAACAATAAGTTCAGGGGCTATACAGACGGGTGCATAACCAATGTTTCTGAAGAGCTGTTAAGTGGAATCTGATCCGCGCTTTTCGGTTGAGGGTGTTGGGTCAAGAAGGGTAGAAAGGTTTGTAGCGGAGAATCAACCAGAAAAGCAAATGGACAATGAGATTGCAACTGGTGGGGCTTCGCGGCTCTCTTTGGGAGGTGTATTTAATGTGGGAATCTCTCAAAAAGGCAGGAATATACAGCGACTATGTTGTGGGTTTCTCGGAGGCCTGAAGCTTGAAGGTTGTTAGGCACCTTGAAAACTGGATGCTCTTAGTAGTTTCCATGTTCTTTTCCATTATCCCCCCATATAACCCTAATATTACCCTAATGGGTACCATAGTAGTCCCCTATATTCTTAAATTTTGGTTTTGAGTTTTGGGGTTGGGGGGTACTCCCGAGACGACTGCGCAAATTACCCAGAGGACGGCTAAGACAATCATTCTCCAATTTCCCATTGGGATAAATGGAAAAGAAAATGGAAACTACTATAATAATGGGTTATATAGGGACTATAGGGTATATATATTGGGGTAATATAGGGGTTATATTAGGGATAATGGAAAAGAAAATGGAAACTACTATAATATTGGGGTAATATAGAATGTTGCTGTGCAAAAAGAAAACAGGCTGCGGACGCAAACCTGCGCCGGTCCGAAATCAGTACCCAGAGCCTTGGACTGTAAGGCTCAGCCCCTGACCCTCCTGATGCTGTCATGCGCCAGGGGTTTGGACTTTCGTCACAACGAAGCATAAGCATAAATTCAGGCACCCGCGAAACAGAATACATTTCTTGGGGATCAGCCAATACAATGAAATTGCTGTCAGAAACCTGCGTCCAACGTTCGTCTATAACAAACCTGATTTTGTGATGGGCTCACATAAGTAACTGTATCCTTGCATAGCCCAAAACCGCAAGCCTTAAGCCACACAGACCCTAAGCCATAAACCCTCAAGAATGCAGATTCCTAAGCCTATCAACCCAACAGCCTACTTGGAGGGTCAGGAGGACTTAGTAAGTACATTGCTAACCTCTATAACCCATATACAAACCCTAAATATTTACATTGTTAACCTATACTTACTAACTCCACCTGAACCTCCAAGTACTTGAGACCTGAACCCCAAGGCGACCCTTCCAGCTTGGTGCAAGGCCGGGTAGGGGCAGCCTCGCGCATGCTCAGACGCGTTTTTGATGGTTTTGGGCTCCGATTCAGGCTAGGTAGGTAGGACTAGGTCCAGTGAAGACTCTACACAAGGGCTACACAAGGTTCTGGGGAGTTATAAAAGGGGTGTATACGGGTTATGTCAGGTCCTCTCTTGGGAACTCCCCGCCTCTGTAGCTGCCTTAGAACCAAGGCTTTTGAACGCCATGGACCCTAAACCCTCTGTGTCTGTGCCAGGCACATGGTGAATGGCTGCTCCCCAAACTTCTAAAATAACGTGTCAGGGAACAAAACAAAAGTACGAAGCAAGCGATACTCTTGCTGCCAATCTGAGCTGTAGTCTATACTCCTTCAAGGGGGGTTATATAGGGGATTACATAGGGGACTTCTCTGGGGCTAGGAGTGTAGACTATGGCCCATCTACCGCAGGCAAGTGTCCGCAGTATCTGCGGTTGATGCAAGGTGCGTGGTATGTCCAACTTACACTTAAGGTTGAAAAGCACAGGCCGAGTAATTACTCCGGAGCGGGCCTTTCAAAAAAACAGGAGGCCGGGTGATGCTCCGAAAACTACATTTCACTCAACAGTGAAGCATCGCTGAAGCCAAGGCCCTAAAGATTCAAACGCCAAAACCCAAAGCCCATAACCTTAAACCCGATTATACTATAGTAGCTTCCATTTTCTTTTCCACTATCCCTATATAACCCCTATATAACCCCCAAAAATCTGACCCTTCCACGTCGCCTTCGGCAGCGGTGACCTCCTTGCTGGTTCCAGGCACGAAGTTTGATGGGTACATGCTACCAAACCTCTCTCCCAAGATACCCCGCCGCCCCGAAATGCCAGCGTCCCTCGAATTATGGGCAGTATGTTGAGAACAGCTATTATCAGGGAATATCTAGTATGAGTGGATGGAGAGCGTCTTGTTTGTTGAATTGGATTGGAGGGGGGATTTCATGTCACAGTGACTAGAATTTGGAGAACGGGCAGATGATACCAATGGTGATCATGACCGTTGTTAGGTAGAACTTCAAACGATCTGAGCTGCGAGGGTGCGACAGCTGTCACGACAAAAGGATGCCACAATCACGATACGATAGCCATCCTACTTGTGTATGGAATATGCCCCATCACGAAAATCGTAGTCTACTATAGTAACTATAGTATATTTTATTATCATTTATTATGGTATATTGAATTCTTTTATAATGTATTATGGTATATTATAATATATCACCTGCAAATTTCCTGACTTGTGGCATCTTCTCGGGACCCCGCCGTCCATCTGAGGGAAGTGAAGTGCCTCAACACCGCAGCCACTCCCCAAACAAAAGTGCAGAAACAGTGGGGGAACTAACAAAGAAAGCTATCCTCTAAGAAAAGATGGAGGCATAGACAGGCCTTTGTTTTGGTTCGGATTCTGTATGGTTGCTTTGAGCTTTGGCATCTAAGGCTTGCGCCGTGGAGCCTACATACTGAAGCATCACAGCAACCCATTCAGGGCGAGCCCCTTTAAGCCTCATGTCACCGCGCGTCAGTCAAATAAATGCTCGGGAGTCTGTCCGTATGACCTCATGGTTTTGGACCCATGCAGGTGCCCTTGACTCTGTAGACGAAGACTAAACATTTGGGAAAGCACATATTTCCCCATTGGGCAACATGCTTTCCCGAATTGCTTAGCGCATGCCTTTGACTTAGCCCCCAACCGGGTGCTGTCCATAGCGAGCTGGGTCGCAGCGTGTAGCCGGTCACCTCAAAAGACGTTTGGGACATTTTGCGCATAAAAAGTGTCTAAGGACTACATAGGTGTAGGTAGGAGTTCTTAAGAGTTACGACTCCATATCACCCTGGACCTCCAAATCGGCTAGCCGCAAGCTTTTCGGCATGAAGCCGAATTAATCCATGACAGGAACCGCTACAAGACCTGATACATCGCAGAACACTGGTGGTACGTATAATGGCAGTGTTACAAGGGACTATAAGATACTACCTAGCTAAAACTTTGGTAGTTGCCTATCTAGCCTAGGGCCTAGGCCACAATCCCTACCTTTGGAATGGAAAGTGATTGCTACCTGCCCTGAGCGTCCGCACTGGCACAGGTGTAGTCGACCTGTCAACATGCTGATGAGATGTCAGAGCGTAAAGAACCTTCTGGGTGAAGACAGACTGTGTGAATTCTTGGCTAAGTATTAAAATCAAAGAGCCTACTGTAAAACCTGCACAAGTTCATGAGAGTCCCCATATCTCGCTGCTTACAAGTAGGACATCAGGGCCTCAGGAGACGTTCAACGCTTACTAAAGCTACGTAAGGCTCAAGGAAAACAATTGATAAAGATAGACTCCGATGCCACTTCCTCAGCACCCCGCACAGCAGGCAACAAGTTCTCTATTTGCAAGACGCCTTAACAAAACCTCTCACTGTTGTTACGGGCCTGGTTCACTTGTTGGACATGCTTATGGTGACCGTCTTGCTAACGGGTGGCAACAAATTGCGGCTCCAAGCATGATGAAACAAAGCGGCACAGGAAAGGGTAGGGCCATAGCGAAAAACAGACAAGCGCAAAAAAAAAGCACGCAGTCAGATAATGAGCCTAGTGGACGGACAGGAAAGGCAGAGGCAAAGGCAGAGAATGGGATAGGAATCCGGATAAACAGAAGGAGATGCTTGGAGGGTCAGGGGGACTTAGTAAGTAGGTTAGTAACCCCTATAACCCATATAGTAACCCTAAATATCCCCATTATTAACCTACTTATTAAGTCTCCCTGACCCTCCAATTGGCCTCTGTTGCTCCTCCGGGCCTGGAACTTCTCCCAGCTCTCAAACTTTTGGTTCCTAGACCCTCCATCTACCCTCTAGTATACCCTAAGTACCCACTTTTAGGGACCATATACCCCTATTTAAGGATACAAGGAGGGTCCTGGTTCAAACCCCTAAACCCTAAACCCTAAACCAGGTGGAAGCACTTCAGACGCCGTAGGTGGTATCAAAAACAAGCCAGGGAGGGGCTCCAGGATTCAAACCTAGGGTCGGTAGTCTACGAGATTTAGGCTTCAGGGTTTAGGGATTGAGGGTCTAGGGTTTACGGTTTAGGGATTTAGGGATTTAAGGTTTAGGGTTTTAGGGATTCAGGGTTTAGAGTTTTAGGGACTTAGGGTTTAGCAAATTCCTTGAACAGGTAAACAACGCAGCGCCTTAGCAGCGGATCAACAGAGGGCCGCTGCCACACCTCAATCTTTGCAGCTTGGAGTTCAAGATTTATTAGAGAGTTGAGGATTATTGGGACTCAGAGAGCTCTAGGATGAGAAGATGAAAGACTAGGATCTTAGAGTGGAGGGGTTGGGTCTAGGATTTTCATTCGGCTTGGGTCTCGAGCCTCAGGATGGACTCTGCTGCAACTTAAGCTGCATGATTTCCAGCCCAAGTCTTAAATTCAAGGACCCTTACACACCCCACACTGCATCCATGGATCCACGGGAAGGAGGAGGAGTCATGAACACCTAAATCCTGAACCCTAAACCTAACACACTCCAGAGAAGAAGAGCTGTAAACCGCTGGAAGCCGTCAACATGAACAGCGTTCTCGTCCTCGGTGCCCCCCAAACCAACATGAAGGCGACTCTCTTCATATAAGGGGGCTCTGCGATTTGATGTTAGTTTTGCGGCCGTGTAGTCCGAAGCCTCAATCTCTAATCCCTCTGAAGCCCTGATCCTTGAATCCCTAAACTGTGTACCTGCCCTGACTCAGTTTGAGGCCCTTCGGCAGAGGCTTGGAGTCAGCGTGTACACGCGTGCAGGCAACGACAATCTGTTGCAAGGACTACTTTTCTAGGATTCCCATGATATAAGGATTGTGGATTGTTGATAGTTCCGGGTATATGAGGGCAACCCCGCATTTTGGAAATGCACATATGCGGGGGTAGTCAATTCTATGATGCCTTTAGAGGTACTCTGAATACTCGGGGCTGGATTATACCTGGGCTCATGATTTTCACGATCTACCGATCGGGTAACAGGTGCCTTAGTGAGTAGAATGTGTGTTGCAGGCTCAGTTTTCTTTCACGGAACAGAAATACAAGGAACACACTACCAGCCATGATTCGGTTTCTCCATTTGGCTCGAGGTCCCGAATCACCTCACAAAAATCGGTTCCTTGTTGCAAGCCCCGATTGCAAACAGCCCCTCGAAAGGAAGCCCCAGCGCTCCAGAACTGGCTTCTGACTGAGTTGCTGTACGCAATAATGAATCCTCCGAGCTTGTACACATCTTCCTGTGATGCATGCAGGAGCATTGCGGTCTATGCAGAGTTGCATATGTGCCCTTGTCAGCCGTATTGGCCCTTGTATCAAACTCTAAACCCTCTGCAAAGCTGCATATTACGTGAAGCTTCACTGGACCGCTCACTCGAGAGGGCTATTCCTCTATTCGTACTCCCCTGGACTAGCCGTCTGTAGGATATCTCAGTCATACGTAGCATCATAACCCCTACAGCTCTGAAATATTGACTCTGATGAACCTCTGCAGTAGCCACTTCTCCCTGCGCCTTGGCGCTGGCGGCATCGCCTCTGTCACGCTCGGAGCCTTAGAGTGAAGCGCAGAAACCAAAAAAGGCGAGAGCAAGGTTTGGGAGCTGGCGTCAGCGCAATGACAGTCTGCAATAGGGGACTTGTTATTATGTTGCTCGGTCAGCTTCCAGCCACTACCTTTTGCGCAAGGCGCCCTTCCCAGAATTCAAATTTTCGTGCTCCAAAAGAGTTATTAACGACTGAAGCGCGCTCCTAGTTGCGACTCAGAGAAAAGATGACAGCGACAACGTCAATGCCGAGGAAAGACAAAAATGCGTGATGGTGGAAGTGCGTGCAATGCTGTCGTACCTGTGTAAAAGGGGCACTGGTGACAATATCGCAGCAGAATCAATTCACTACCGAGCTTAGCACATACAGTTGTACTACGCTTGCCCTCATTGCAGTTGTAGTGGCCTTAGTGACTGCGAATAACTCCAAACCCTTAACCTGAAGCTCTACCAGCTCACCACAAGCAGCCAAGTAGCCCTGGAGGCAGCTACCGGATTCGCTGCGGTTGTCGTCCTCCCAAGCACTCTTGGTCTAGGCTGGCGCGGAACGGCCTTCTTTCTCTCCAGCACAAGTGATGGAGAATGATGATTCTGATAGAAATCATCTTGCAAAATTTGCTGCATTGAACTGGATGGCGGAGTTAAAGAGACGTTTCGTGTCCGCGAACGCATGGGCCAAGAAACACTGCCCAAAGAATTTCCTACTTACTGCGCATATCTTAGTTTTGTCTACACACACACACACACACTTCCATTTGAGCTATAGTCTAAACTCCTAGCATCCCCGTTCATAACCCCGTAACACTCCATATATAATCCTCTATATAACCCCCTGTAATGAGTTTAGATGTTGGCCCATTTGGGGCTAAAATTTGTCCGGGCCTCGTCGCCTGAGCTTCAGCAACTTCGGCCTGAGGGCGCATTTGCTCTGCACACGCAATACATATAATACGCGTAATATGATCACATAATGTACTTGAGATATAGTAGCGTTGTGATGGAGTGTAGAAGGCTTAGGGTTTGGGGCTCTTCCAGGTTTCATGGTCAGCTATGAGCAACCCTTGTGCCAAGCAGATACAGTAGATGCCTCCCCTAATGATAGCTCCCCCCCGTAACAATGAACATGCCCAAGTATACATAGTACGGTTCTAAGAACGGGGGGATTATTCATTGTGAGGGAGTCAACTTACATGGAACCCCATGTGCAATCAATCAAGGGCGCACGTGGGGATGTTGTTAGATTGCAGGGGCTTAGCCCCCCCCCCCGAACTAGTACGGAAACCCCTTCTGAAAGTAGAGTCGTCTTTACAAGGTGCTTGTTGCGGTTCCATGATTCTGTTTGGAAGGGTGGGCCGTGGGATGTTACAGTTTAGTACTTTCTGGTGTGTAGGATCTAAGTGCTCTCCTGAAGATCGCCCAATCAAACCCAGTGGCAGGTATAGTCTAAACTCCTAGTGTCCCCCTTAGTAACCCCTATAACACTCCCCTATATAATCCCGTAGATAACCCTCTTTAAGGAATTTAAACTAAGCTCATGTGGGGCGGGGGTAAGGATGTGGAGAGGAGACTGCACTAAGTCCCCTGCGCGATCCGTAGCCTCGCGCCAGCGCGACTCGTAGAGATTTCGCTCAGCCACGATGTTCGAAATAACCTTGTTCAACGCTACGCGGTTTCATGTTTAGGGTTTGGACCAACGAAAACAGGGTCGTCCCCGCTACAGGAACAGCTTCCACAACAGGTACTAGCAGTTGCAATAGCCCCTTGATAGAGCCCCTTGAAGCACAACCTCAGAAATCATCTTGTTCAAAGCTTGGGATTCTGGATTGAGGGGCTCTTCTACAAAAAAAAGGCTTCGGAAAGGCACACTTCAGTTTGCGGATGCCATGTATAAGGTGCAAAGAAAACGAATCCTCACTGTAAACCTCCATGCAGCGTGAAGAGCAAGCTGAGCCTTCAAATACGGGTTCCCGCCGCAGCCAAGTATGCCGACCAAGGCAATAAATGAACCAACCTTATCCATAAAATCAAAAAAACTCTACACCCCGTACACCCTACACACACCATCGACGCGAAAATCCTAAACCCTGAATAGTACCTTCCATTTCCGGTATCCATACGCACACACGCATATATACATATATATGTATGTACCCAAATCAACCCCAATGTTGACCCTTGATTAATAAACCCCCTCCCCTTAACAGGGATTTTAATAGGGATCCTTACATTAAGGCCCTTGCAAAAAGGAGTGGATGTATTCATCACGCGTCTACATTAACCTCAAACACTAATAAGTAAGCCCCAATCTAAACCCTCTAACCCAATTGCACCGGCCACCTGCCAGTGGATCTCAGCGGTCTGTTCCTGGACCTCCCGCAGAGTTTGCACCTGGACACTGTCATAAGGGACTGTCATAGGGGACACAGCTCAGGGTTTCCGGCTTGGGGCTTGGAAGTAAGGCTAGGGGTTACGGTTTAGGCTTTGGGAGTAGCGTGAGGGAGCCTTCTACGCTCGTCAAGAATGTGGCTAACCTGAACAACACAGTGTGGAAATCATGGCTTCAAGGGCTTAAGGTTCAAGGGCTTTCGTTGGACAAGCAGTCGCGCACCATGAATCCAACTATGTGAGAGACCACTTTGATATATGTGCAACACCCACTAATCTCGGTGGGAGGCCGCACCAGAAGAACAATTCTGCGGGCAGGGGAAACAAAGCAGCCCAACCAAAAAATAGCTTAACACTTCCTTCATGTCAGCAAACTTTCCCCATCATGCAAGGTCGCACACTAGTCATTGCTGTAACATATATGCATCCGCGCATCCTTTTGGCAGGCTCCCCGCTGCGAGGTAAGCTGTGCGAAGCCCTGTAACACATCGCGCCCCTCTTGTCATGCATAAAACTGCGAGACGGGAGGTGATGCCAAATCTTCTTCACGATTCAAGGAAGCGCCTGCATGCGGAGCACATCGTTCTCACGTCGAAGCTGCGATGTAGGAGACGCCTCGGCGTCTGCCCAACCTCTTGACATCATAGTAGGTTCCTCCCCCAGAAATTCTATTGCAACTGAACACTTCTGAGTGACTTGTAGTACGGCTGTTGGGAACGAGCATGATGACCGGCTGGAATCATATGCAAACGGCACGCAATTACCTCTGTGGCTCAGGAAATGGCTCCTTGAAGCCCTAAGCAAGCTAGTGGGTACAGGGCTTAGCATCCACGAGTCTGGTGTGCATCGCCGTTTGCCTAAATCCTTAAATCCAGTTTGGCCAAGCCCTGAATTGCTTGCGCCCTAAACCCTTCACCCTGAACCCTAAACCCCAAACCCTTGGCCCTGAGCTGTTTGGCTGAGAGCCCTACCCGTACTGACTCGCACCTGAGCTGTGCCGTGGGAGTTAGCTTAGGGCTTTGGGAAGTTTAGGGTTTAAGGTTCTTGCTTTTGTCGAACACGCTTCCTCTCTCTAAGACTCTAGCTTAGGCTTTTAGGGTCCAGGGTTTAGGGCTTAAGGTACAGGGTTTAGGGTGCAGCGTTCAGGGTTTAGGGCTTCGGGCAGCAAAAAAAACAACAAAGAACTTGTGAAGGCATACCTACTTCAATACAACCCCGTCTGAGCCCAATGCGGCACTCTTCGGTTGGAACATATACTCCCCACGTGATGCCTATACAACTTCTACCGAAAGCTATACGCGACATTGAACCCTCACACCTTAATGAGCCCCGTGCTCAGCAGAAGCGGCCGCCGGTTCCAGCCTAGCTTGCGATGAGTCGGGCAGCGCTCCCCGCCAGCAGTACAAGGATGACATGGATTCCAGAACATCGGTTCCATGCGAGCTACAGTCTAAACTCCTCAGATCCCCCTTCATAACATTTAATAACCACCATAATAGTCCCCTATACAATCCCCCATATAACCCCATTTAAGGAAATTTAGACTATAGCTCATGTGTGCAGGAGACCCAAGAAGGGAAACGAACATACTTAGTAGTATCAGTTGAATTGGCTGTCAGTAGGTGTGGGCCCTACTCACTTCACCAGGTGGGCAACATGCCATGCCTTTCTCAGGTTGAGATAGATCCTAAACCCTAAACACAATTAAAATTAATGTCCCCTCCGGAAGGCTCCACACGTTATCCTCAACGTCTCATTTTTTGCTAACATAACTATCAGAACTATCAATCAGAAGTTGTAGACAAAGTACTTTTGGAAGCTTCCCTTCCTCCATCATGAGGCTTCTCAAAGTCCTATAGCCCCTACAACAGAATCCTCTTGAAGCGGACAAAGGGAAAAGTCCCAATGCAAAACCCCAAGGTCTTGTCATCCAAGATTGAAGGTGCGGGCGTCTGATGTGGGACCTGTCCTTCCTTCTGAAGAGGAGCTTCAGCGCACTGAAGGTATGGGGTATGCACTGTAAAAACTAGACATGGCCGGAGTAGATGTAAGCATTCCGCAAAGAAGATTTCGAAAACCTCATCAAAGCATGATCCTTCCAGTAGTCACCTGGGCCCAGGCTCCAAGGTCTCTGAACCTGGACAGGTATCATTCTGGTGGATGATCATGGCAGTTAGGAGGTTTGGGGCTTAAGGTTTGTAAAAGTGCTAGGGGTTTAGGGTTCGTAGTGGCGCTAGGGCTTAGGGCTTTAGGGTGTGGATTTGTTCTCTGTTTTGTAGCCGCACTTTTATTTCCGACCTCTCCGACCTTGTTGGGAAAGCCCGCCCGTGCCCGAGGAAGAAAAGGAAGAAGACGGATTTGGGGATGAGAGATTTTAAGATCTAAGTTGAGGGGCGAAGAACTTTCATTTTGTCGCATGGCGTGGCATCGGTGACAATAGAAAAGCGTAAAAATCTATCGCAAGCAGAGCATATCATGGCTTAAAGAGGCACTATCTTTGCTAAGAGGTAGGTATGGAATTACTTCAATTATAATCCATGTATTGAACGAAGATAGCTGGGTTTATTGCATTGGCACTCCCTGCTTAAATTGGATCATCTCCCCTAGCTGCTATAGCCATCCGGGAGCCACAAGGGCATTCTGCGGTGTAGTAGACTGCTTGCGATAGCCAGAATAGACGAGGCACCCCAAGACCTTAACTATCATGTAGTTGCTGGTAGAGGTGAAGACCAGCATCAACTACCAGGCTTTGTGGATCGTTTGACCCCGCTTTGGCCTGAGGCCATCAGGTTGTCAAAATGGTCTACTAATTACTACCAAAGGGTCACAAATAGAGAAAGAGGCCACCATGGTCAAAGGAACGGGGCTTTCCAGAGAAAATTCGCGACATAACCACCAAAGTGTTTTCTAATCTACTTCTACAGAGGTGCTCACTACCTGGACCGTACACGTAGGCAAAATAAGATCCCAAAAGCCCAAAAGCCGTAAAAGAGCCTAATAGGCTATTCGACCTCGCTTTGGAGTCTAGATTCTAGATACTTGTCGCTGGGTATGGGGTGTATGCAAATCAAACAGTCCAACAGCATGGTTGCCAATGGGTTGCTAACGGATTGACCCGGATTTCCGTAAGACACACCCTTAGGTGCAACTATTACTGGGTGGGACGTCCACCTGAATCTTACCAATGGACAGATGACAACAAGTTCTCCTTTACTCAGCAACATATTCACACAATTAAAACCACACCGTTATGTCGCGTTCTTTACCCCAGCATAATTACCGCCACGGCTAGTACAAAAAACAAGCGACAGAACCATAATGCACTAGGCTATGAGGTACTTAGGGTCATGTTTAGTATTAACAGAATCAAGACCGCATCAGCGGAATTTGCTAAGGACATGGCTTTCTTGAGCTTCCGAGCTCTTCAGCTTTGCCAGCCTCAGCACATCCCACCAGCAAGCAGGAAGAGATGCGGAAAGTTGGGGTCTAGCTGTCTAGCTCTTAGGGTACCTTTTTCGGGGCTTCGCGCATGCTTGGGCCTTGGAAAACTCACGGTGTTCTAAGACAGGTGCCGTGGTTGACGACTCTACGCAAGCGTATGCAAGCGTAGAGGGCAGCTCAAGAGGACGTTGTTAACTCACGGATTCAAAAACTCTCAAGACAGATAAGTCTCGTTTGTGATCACTACAGAGTGAAGGAATTGACTAGAAACGGACAAGGGGAACCCACTATAGCATTGGGTGGTAGCCATGGGTTACTGTCACCCCCCAACAGTCAGAAGTTGTGGGAGATCCCCCGCGTATTCTGCAGCGCTGAGCACATTGCCCTTCACAAGTTGGTGACGGCTTCCTGGTAGATAGGCAGGGTGCTAATTCCAGTCACTGCAAATTGGCTTCCAAATACAGGCCAAGGACTTGGATTACAAGGCAAGATACCCTAAACCCTAAATCCTAAACCCTAAACCCCAAATCCTAAACCCTAAACCCGAAACCCTCTTCAGGGAGGCTTGGGAGTCGTAAAGAGAGTTAGCGGGTGCTGAGGGTTACTAGCTTACCTGCCCCTTTGAACCACCCCCGCTTGCAACCCTGTAACTTCAGATGAACCAAATAGAAATTGGTTGTCGCCTTGCGGTTTGGGGGGAACTCCAAGTCGAGATTGTGATGACAAATTCCTTGGGGCTTACAGTTTAGGATTTTGTGTGTAGGCTTTGGGGTCTAGGGTCCAAGGCGTAGGCTTGCGGTTTAGGGGTAGCTGAATAGTGCAGTTGCCATGTTGGGAACCCTTGTGGATCAGAATCTTGCCCTAAAACCCTGGTGCCACCTCAATTAGGGTTTAGGGTTTAGGGTTTAGGGTTTAGGATTAAGGCTTCAGGTCACGATCCGTACCTAAGCAGAAAAACAAAGACCACAGGCGAGGACCCAAGAATGAACCATTTCACAATCCCCCTGCATGCCTGAAATACATCCACCCATTGTGTCAAAGGCCTTCTGCCCAGTGAGCCAGTACATCTCACTTCAGGAATATACCTTACATGACACTACAACCCCTAGCATGATTTCAGGAGTCTTCCTTTGTTAAGTGGTGCTGTCTTCCCAGGGTATATGGGAGTTGCAGGAGTCAGGTAATACTGGAGCCTAAATAATTACCAACACCATGTTGAGGCCTACTTGAGGTACCCTATACCATGAGAATACAAGGAACCTAGGACCATAATCTTGTTAATTATTTGGGCTGTTACATTACATAGCCCCTTTAAAGCACCTCTAGAACCCCAGTGTCCAGTTCAAGTTCTTTTCTCTTTTCCATTTGACTGTTCACTATCTGGGTATCCCTACATATCCCTGTACAACCCTACATTGCGGCCCTGCAGGAAATAAAGCGCCCAGTCCTCCGGTTCAGTGTGTCTCGGCGTCGTTGCCTGCGTGCCAGGCAAGCGGGCGCGCAGTCAAATAGCCGTTGTGGAGATACTCGGGGGTTCCAATAAAAGCCCACTTAGAACTGTACCTATTACCCAGTTACAAGCCCCCTATGTCCTCTAATATGGCTGTAGATTGGCTATGAAATTGCACTTATGACTGGGCTAGAATTACCTGGAACCTCCAAATCATGCAGCACCTTAAAATATTTAGAATAGCGCTTCGGAGAAGAATATACATTGATGAACACACGGGTTACACAAGAGGATATTACTGACTGTTCAGGCTTCTGCATCGGGTGAAAACTAGACATGTCAAGGCACTTCCCTCACATAATCCCCCTACACTTATACGAGCTTCCTATGAACTTTATACGGGGGCTGAATGGTAACTGCACCCACTGCAACTAGAAGCCTGCAAAAACTACTCGTCATTATCGCTTCTTACTTAATGACAAAAATGTAAATTCCCAAGGCATGGAGAAGTAGCTCAGAAAGTCCCTCCGGAGAAGCCCTAGACCCACGAATTAACCTTCCGCCCGCATTGTGGCCTCTGAAGGCCCGCCACCGAAACAGTCGGAGTGCCAGTATCCGAGTGAATGACATAGTGCTCCGCCTTTGACAAAATTAGTTGTTGGCAACGGTTGAGGGTCCCAACATTTTGGGAAGCCTTTTTTGCAAGGGGATTTTCATATTCTAGGGTACTAGGGGAAACTTTTTGGAAGTACCCAAGTTGGTTCCAAAAGACTTTAGGGGAGACAGTCTTAAACCCACAAGAGGCCCATGTGGGATTTTAGCTGCAGAGCATGGGTTTGATGGCGGTGCGTACGCCACACAAACAAGAATTTGAAACGCAGCCGTCCTCCATTCAAACTCAGTTGCAGACTTTCATACTGACCACCAGCCTACATCATTGGGATGCGACTACAGGGAAAACTATATTGTAATCTCCTCAATGATGTTTGGTAGATTCTACAGTATACCCGAAGCAAAGATGAATGGTGTAAGCTCGCGATGGCCGCAGCGATGTACAAATAGAAGAACGTGCGAGGACTTACTTGCAAGCTGAATCAGATCTTGCAAGAGGAACTCTGAAAAGCCTTCCGGCACAACTTGGATATGAAACGAAGGCTTACTGTTCAAGACCTCATGACTCTTATTAGTCCTGCAAGCTCCGTAGAAATATTCTTATAAACAAACCTGACCCCAAAGGCCATGTAAATAAACGCAATGATCTTCAGCAAAAAGGATTCTGGATGGAATCCCCTGAACTACAGGGGACCAAATATTCAAAAGCTAGGGGATTTATGTGCCTTGCTCTGCCTCCCTGTTTAACAGTTTAACCTGAACCCTCCGCCTTGACTACTGATTCCTAAGCCTCAAACCCTAGACCCTGCACCCGAAGACTTGAACCCTAAAACCTTATGCGTTAAGCGTCAAAGTCCTACAAGTTCAAGAACCCTAACGCTTGAATTCTTGTGGAAGGGACCCCAATGTAGACCCAAAAATACGATAATCCTTCTTATAGGGATCCCTAATTTTGAGAAACCCCCATCTTCCCAGTTTGACAGGTATATAAGCACCTGTGTGGTTTTGGGGAGCGTGATCACGGGAACGGGCGGCATGGCTTGAGCGCGGGCAGGGACAGGAGCAAGCTTTAGACAAGCATGAACTACAATGTCACCAAACTTCCCAGAAATTGATGTAGTAACCAAAGTAAAAATCGTCAAGCATGAGCTCCAATATCGCCCAACTTTCGCATGCATAACAATAACACTCCTGTGCGACCTTGTTTAATGCTAGTTTCAAGCCTGATAATAAGCATCAATAGTGACAGCTTGAGCATGACAACAATCCTAATCACAGTATAACGGCGACTGATAGGAAAGACAGTGTCCGCCACTTCCATTCAGATTCATTGAAAAACCTCGACAAACATGTCACTAGCAAGCTGCACCTACACCATCAGCACAAAAATCGGAGTCATGAAGGGAACGTTGAGTAAATATTGCCACCAGAGAAATTGATGGGGCTCATGGTCCAAGTGATGGTCATCAAGTGAGAAGTAGCAGGAGCAACATTGAGAGGGAAGGCTTTAAAACTTTCATGAGCAGCAAAGCCTAGAGTGGCGCAATGCCTCGGTGAGATTCATGCATAATGTGTTTGGGAATGCCAGAAGGAATTCCATCTGCTTGCCATTTTACACAGATTACTCAGCTGAAACATTCCTAATGCCAAATTTCACGCATAATGCAGGCAAGCCCAGCGAACCTGTGCCAATCAGAGTCAGCAGCACTTCAATCCCTGCCCTCTGATTGACCTTCTAGTAAGTGCTTTACTAAACCCACAATACACAGCAGACCGTCCGACTGTTGTTTGCTTTGGGAGGAAAGCGTTTTGCGTCTTTTGGGGCAAGGAATACATGGCCATGGGCCAAAATGAGGCTGCTGTTTTTGGGGATTTGGATGATAAACCTCAAGCCTTGAACTCGTAAATTCAGAAGACGTGCTGAAGGAAATAGAACCCTAACCCTAATCAAGCCAGAAAAATGTAACATTAAAACCAAAGCCCGAAATCCAAATCCTTAACCAAATATCTCCTCTAATCCCAGCCGCTTCATAATCAGACCCCAGACTCAAGGCATGATCTGTGTTTTGGCATGACGGTGACACCTGCCACATCCGGGGCAAGTCCACATGACCACTTGGGTGAAACGGGTGAACTTTGCAGCCTGGTTCGTGTTGGGCGCTGGAAGGCTTGCGTTTTAGGGCTTGAGGTTGTGCATTTAGCGTGCATTCGGGCTTACACTCCTATTTTACCATGCCATCACCAAGAACAGTCAAAACTTCACATGTGAGTGTGTCACAAGTCATGGTCGCCTTTTGGGTGATAAGACGGACCCTAAGATGTAGGATGCCCAGAACATCTCATCTAAACAGCTGTCCATTGTTGGGTGGTTGCACCATGTAAGGTTAAGATCTTCGTACACAAGATACTGTAGCCATGAGGACTATACTATCTGGCTCTGTGTCGGGGACTATAGTAACCCGCAGTAACATACCACTCATATGAAGCTGCAGTGGTAACACAAGAAATCCAGCCCAAAGCTGTAACTGTACCTCTTCCTAAACCCTGAACCAAAGCCATAAGCCCTAAACTCTGAGTATGTGGAGCTTGCCTCCACGAACAGGCACAGAGTGAAACACGATTTTGGAGAAGGATGCCAAAGGAGGTAGAATTGTCGTTTTATGTTTTGAGTTTTAGGGGTTTCGGTTTGGGTACTGTTGTAGGGTTTAGGGTTAGATGCACTCACCAAACTTAAAGCACAAATCCCAGCATTTTGCTGTAGTCATGCCTCTTCCTGTCAAATGTGTGAGGGGCACGACGCAGTGCTTATGAACTGGGTCGCTCATAACGTAGACCCGTGATTAATAGACCCCCTCCTTGTAAGGGCGTAAATATAGCGATCCCTATTATAATCCCCTTTTAAGGGGAGTGGGCTTATTAATCAGGGTCTACACCCTAAACCCTAAACCCTAAATAGTAATTTCCATTTTTCCATTATCCCAATATAATCCCAATATAACTCTAATTAATCACGGGTCTGGGTTCATCTTCCCCCTAGTTATGGCACTACCTTCGGGTATTAATGATTAGCGGTGAGGGCTGGGGGTTGTTAGTGCGGGCGGCGTTTCACTCTTCTCTTGCAGTTATGCTCGGTAGCCCGTGCCACATCTTCTCCGCATGCTGGAATGGTGAGACAAATGCATGGCAGAGCGGCACGTGTGTGCAGATGGTTTGTTCTTGGCAAGATGATACCACTTCTTCCGAGTTGAGGACGAAGCCTGCGGTTCCAAGCATCAAGACATTGGGATACTTGGTACCCAACACTAGGTTGTGAGGAGTTTAAGGTTTTCGGACAGACGACGCCGAAGATTTGAGCGCTTGGATTCCAAAGTGGGCTTCCAAGCAACACAGGCAATACTGCGGAGGGGGTATAAGATCCTTTGTGAAAGATCATTCAATTGACCTGACATCCTAGGACGGAAACTTGCTAAAGGGCTCCTGCTGGCGCGGAAGAACCAGCAGTCTTGCTGGTGGATAACAAGGAACGGATCACTAGCGGCGCATGTATATTCTCCAAAACATTTCTTGGCGTGGAATGTTGTTCCAGTCCGTCACTTCCTACTAACAACTAGTAAGCAGTTTAGAGACACCTAGGAATGGCTGTAGCACCTGTACCTCATCACCTGCCGCCCCTTCTTTTGATTAGGAGGCTTGCCATGATTTGTCGGCCCTGGCAAAGGCGCCATCTTGATGTAGAAGCCCGGTGGAAGCCCATTTCAAGAGAAGGTTCCCATACGGTGATCAGCGCTACATGCAAAAACTCTAGGAGCAAACATATAGTCCCCCTTAAGTAGATAGAATATGGCTTTGGGTATGTTGTAATAAGATCCCCATATACCCCACATTCTATCTACTTAAGGGGGACTATAAGGGGGACTATATGTAGTAACTTCCATTTTTCGTCTCCTTTCCTTCATTCCAAGGCTAAATTTTGGCAACCCTCCTGTGCTGGCGAGGTGATACGCTCATTCAAGGTGCGAGCGATTCTCCTGGAGCAGGGCGTCGAATTTGGGGCTTCGGGCTTAGGCTTCAGAACGTATTGAGGGCTTAGGGGTTGAGTCTTAGGGTTTTGGGTTGCAGGGGACCCTACATCGTAAACCCCTTGACACTGTTGACTCTTCAAAACTTATCGGGGCAGGTGAGCGGCTAGCGCATGCATGTAAAGCAGCTCGTACTAGAAGCACATACGTTTCTTCAGAAACCAAAAGAACAAGTATAGGTGTCAAGGGAGGAGTACCACGCAAAGGCTGTAGTAGTTTAGGAAAGAGAGACGCTCAGGGTACAACTGCAATGGCTGCAGGTTTGCTAGAGTTAGGTTTCGACACCATATAGAAGCTGTGTAGGGCCTTTAAGGGATCAATCTGACCAAGCCGGACTTCAGGGTTCAGGGTTTTAGGGTTTAGGGCTTAGTGATTTAGAGTGGATCGGACTAGCCTAGGACACAACATACTGCATAGAATGCAGAATCCCGCCTGCCTAATATGGCCCAGTGTGGCTCAGCTATGGTGATCTCTAGAGGAACCAGCCAGAGCCCATGATACGAATAAGATACGAATAATAACCACTAGTCTCATCACCAAGCACTTCCATGCAATAACGGAAAAGAGGATGGAATTGTGTGGAATTACTCTGATAAAGGAAAAAATTGCAATGTGAAAGTCGTTCATTTCAATTTACATACAAGCACCCGAAAACTTTTACGCGTGCAAAACCAAGACCTAAAGAAGGACATCCGGCTTAACATTGGGCTGCACGATGATCATAATGACATCTGCATAACGTTGCAAGCCGGAACTTTGTTTCATGAACCTTGCTTCAACGTTGAGGCGGATGGGGTAGTGCAACCTGTTATCTGACAGCAACTCAGGATCCAAGAATTCAACGAATTGGGCTAGGGGCCTACAACGCCATGTCAGTCCTTTCGCGGCTTTCAGTGCGAAAGGCTGAAGAGACCGCCCATGTAGCGAACCTGGCGGCAGTTGGACATGTACCCTGTTCTGACTATGCGAGCATGTGCTATGATTGGTATTATTTGCACGAGTGCGATCAGGCTGTGGACGTCAAGCCAGGGCAGCGACAGCCGCTAAAACAGGTGAATACACACCTGAGAACATAACGACGTTCGAGACTTGCTCCAGGTATTGTGGAGGTGACACCCATGACAAACTCAGGTCATGAAACACGTGCCTCGCTCTACAATCCATAAGTCCATAAGTACAGGGGTTTAGGGTTCATTGCTCCGGCCTTGTCCCATACGCAGAGGCCAGTTCAACCCTACTTGCAGCAGCCCCGTAGACTTTGAGGACTTGAAAATGGGCCCCCTAAACCCTAAACCCTTAAACCCTAAACCCGAATCGAGGCGGGTCACCCAGATGTGTAAGCCCCCAAAATGAGGGGTACCTTTACAGGGGTTCTAGGGGATAAAAGAGGGTCATCTGGGGGTATATGGGGTTTACGGTTTCCCCCAAGTATATCTACATGATCAAAAGTGAAGCATCTAGCAACTCAGAACAGGGTTTCCAAAAAGTCTCATGCAACTGTAGCCCCGAATTCCCAAAACCTAAGACCTACCCCAAGAACCGAATTCCTAAACCCCTAAACCCTAAGCCTTAAGCACAAAACCCTTCAACCTAAACCCTAAACCTAATCCCTGACCCCTGAGCCCCTAAACCTTAAAAGCCCTAAACCCTACGCCCCAGAATGGTGTCGACCAGGCCTGGGGAACGGGCCTGGGGTGGATCACCCGGCCATCACCGCGCTGGGCGTCCTGGCAGTAGTGCTCAGAAACTTACTGGGGGTTTAAGTTTAGGGTTTGGGGTTTAGGGTCCAACCACTCACATGCATGCTGGATATGGTAGTTTCTCTAAATAGAGGGACCCCAATATAGACCCCAACATACTAGAATCCCTATTAAGGAGACCCCCCCTAAACCCTCAACCCTAAACCCTAAACCCTAATCCCCATATGGCCTGCGCCATCATTTCGCGCTTCTTCTGCTCAAAGAACTTCCTGGTGGCAGATCCGGCCAGCTCCGTGCAAGCTCTTCTTCAAAAGCTAGGGGGCTGTTTAGGGTTTGGGGGGGTTTAGGGTTTAGGGTTCAGGGTTTAGGGTTTACGGGGGTACCCAGGGCCTGACAAAGATGTAAGGGCCTAGATTTTTCTTTATGTAGATAGAATAGGGGGATATGTGGGGATTTTTCTCTGAGATTAGGCAATTCCATGTTCTATCTGCTGACAGGGAGACTTTAAACAAGCAAGGTGCTATTTCCTCAAATCATCCCACAGTTAGGTAAGGAATGTCAAGACAGATGTCTTGCTGATGATCTAGGCTTCTATGATATTTAACCAGTGGGTGAAGGCCTACTGGAGACCTCATGCTGCAACGCGAGCACATCATGGCTAGATCGGATTCTTCTCGATAATTATTTTGAACTGCTACACCTAGAAACAGTAGATGGAGGACATCTGATCTTGCATGGCTTGCCTGCTGCAGATCCTGGGTATATAGCATATGCGGTGGTGCAAGATTTCCGTCATCCAGAGAAGAAGCTAGGGTGCAACGCAGGGCAGGCGTCTCAGGAAAGTTGACTCAATTTTCGCGCTTGCCGCGTCATTGGATTCAGAGTCAAGGGGCCTCGCGTTGAAGGATGAGCCATTTCTCTCCCCATGAGGGCTTTGACAGCCCAAGAGCGGCTCACGCTGAGGAGCTGGGGCTTTCTCAATCTAGGGCTACACGGCTACCCTTGAAGACCTGACCCCATGTATTTATAGAGAGATTTCAGAGGGATTCTGTAGGTTATTACATTCTATTGGTGCATATTGGTGCTGTGTACGGCTCCACAGTATGACGTGTGCTTTAGGGCTGTTTTTCCCTAAGCCCTATACCCTAAACCACAAGTCTTGCTGTCCAAGGAACTTCTTGACCTCGGCAAGCTCGCGATTCAGCCGATCGATCTCGTCCTTGTAGTCGGACACCTGGCACCATCAATTAGAGCTTGGGTTTTGCGAATCCCCCCCTGTGTCTCCCTCCCCAAAAAAGGACCCCAAACAAAACCTCACTAGGGGCCGTATTTTGCGGAGGGGTAGTAAAGGGAGTGTAGTACAATGTTTCATGACCTCGCAGGTAGGGGGACCCCTATTGTTGGTGGAAGGAATCCACCACCCAAAGTTCCTGCTATCCTACGGTTGAGAAAAGATTCCTCCATCAACAGTAGGACATACAAGGGTGATACCCTCCTGTATTCCCACACACACCATCAGAGCCCCTACAGGCAGGGAGAAATGTAAATCCTAGAACCCTCAACCCCAATTCCTAAATCCTGAGCCCCAATTCCCAGATCCAGAATCTCAAACCCTGATCCTACACTACAACGCCTGGACCCATCGCATCTAGCTTGCCTGAGACTGATAAGTGTGGAGCTCACTCTGCATGGCTTTCATCTGCTTGAGCTTGGCATTGTACGTCTCCTGCAGTCGGTTGAAAGTTTTGGGATTTGAGGGTTTAGGGGTCAGGGCGGACTTTTTGGAATGGTCTGGGACCTTCCAGCTACTTGGGAATGATGCTGCATGCAAAGGAGCACCGTAAGCGCAAGGCATATGGTAGTTTGTCGACATAATTGGGGACTGTTACGGTCTCCTAAATTCGAGGCAAAGGAGCCCGGCTTTTTGACTGCCCCCTTTACAGAATATAAATCACAACCCTGAACCTTACCCCCGAAACCCCAAACAAAACCCTAAACACTGAAACCCTAACCCTCAGCCCTACACCCTACACCCTCAGCCCTAAATCCTAAACCCTAAGCCCTAAACCCTAAATCCTAAACCCTAAGGCCCAAACCCTAAGGCCTGAATCCTAAATCCAAATCCGTTCCCCATTCACCCTTTGCACCTGGTACTGCTCCAGCTGCTCAAGGACCTCTGGCCCCGGCTGCTTCTCCAGGATGGATGTGAGCTCCTGTAAGCTTCGTTGTAAGGAAAACACTTAGAAGGTTCAGGGTTTAGGATTTATGAGGGGGTTCTTGGGTATAATTACTGTCATTATATTAAAATTACAAAGGAATGATATTGGTTATGATTCAGGCCTCTACAATAATTACACGCACCATTTCTTTCTAGGACTTCATGGGCCATTTCGAGCACCAGGATTACGCAGTAAGATTGCATCCTAAGGTTTCGCCCTGCAGTTGCCCCCCACCCTCCTGTTGGGCTTAGAGCGTCTTGCGCACAGTCCTTGTGGAGCTTTTCCTTTTCCTGGATCTCCGTATCCTTTGCAACGACCTCCTCGGTCTTTGCCTAGGACGAACCAGGGCGCGAACGAAGTTTGAGGCTTAGGGGTTTAGGGTTTGGGGCCCAAGGCTCACATGGTTCCTTGTTTTGGGCCCTTCTTGGGCTCGGCCTGCCAAGCTTGAAATTCAAGTGTCGGTTTAGGTTTTAGGGCTCAGGGTCTCGGGCTCAAGGCCTGGCGTTTTAGGCCTTGCAAGTCTGTGGGACTGTGCAGGAGACAGCCTGAGGAGCAATCACGATGGAGCTGAGCACTCTAAGACCAGAGCAATCAGCCGCTTCTGCAGCGTTCGCACCTGAGTGTATGGGGGTTTCTCAAAGCAGGGGCCCAAGAGATCCCAGCAGTGTAAGAGGTTTGTCGGAAGGAAGGTCGGACCCCCAAGGATTCCAAAAAGTTGTTTTGAGCATCTTGGGTTGAACCCAATCGGCGCCTAAACACCGTTTTCCAGGTTTCGCAACACTTTGTTATGATTTGCTGCGCACTGATGTTTTGTGGCCCTCAGCAAGTTTCCTGTTGACCCCTACCTTGTATCCACTAGCCTATACCCCTAAACCCTAAGCCCTTTTCCAAGCACAGTCACCCCAACGCAGACATCATATCCACTAGTGTATACGTCCATCCTTGGACCTCAGGGGAACATAATCAGAGGGTAGGGTTTAGGGTTGCAAAATGTACTTCAGAGGGCTTTCCTATCCTATCTGGAATCTAGTTCGGGAAGACCATAGCCATAGACAGAGGCTTGTAGGGCAGCCTGAGCATGCGCCTAAGGCATCACTGATGGCCCCCTTCCCTTGAGACCTCCCCTGCACTTTCACTATGAAGCTTGTCGCCATCCTAACATACAAGAACCAACAACCAGGGCTCCAAACAACTGCATAGGCAGAAGCATGTAGCAGTGTCTCCAAGTTGCGAATTCCCTTCATGCCCCCTAAAGAGGGCACAATACCCGCCCTATAGTACCCCAATTTAACCCTTGCATCACCCCTATAGTACCGCTATAATGTAACCCCCATAGTACCCCTGTACAGAAAAGACCCTTCTGTTCCCCCTCTAGTGCTAAGACAATTTCAGTCATCCCCTGGGAGCGTGGCGCTTAGCACGGAATAAAGGATCGGCTGATTCCCGACAGAGTTCCCACAATGGTCCTCTCTACCCAGCCTGCCATTTCCCCAACAAAACCAACCCGCAAAATCCAAAACTCAGAATACTAAGCCCTAAACCCTAAAGGATAGAGATGGGTTCCGAAACTTCACTCGTTAAGCTGCAGAAGAGGCACCTTCTGGATGAGCTCCTGGCAAGTGAATACCACAGGGGCGGGGTTCAGGGTTTAGGGTTTGGGGTAGGAGCAGGGAGAGTGTACTGGTCCACTAGCGACATGCTTCATAGAGGAACCTTCTCCACTACGGCAAAAAAGGCAGCAGCAAACAGAGAGTGTTTACAGGAAGCTGAATGCGTAGCTCTGCCTCTAGAAAAGAAGTGCTAGTAATGATGCTGCGGTTGTCTTTGCCTGGCATGAAATCGGGACGCTAACATTGAAGCTCACATCTGTCGGACGCAATGAAACAGAACACGGGCAGAAACAGCTTTTGCAGCTGTATCTGCAGGGGAAAAAATTCAGGTAGTCAGTCATAACATGCAGCTGTGCCTGGCATGCTAATGTACCCATCATTAGACCCACCTAGATGCCTCTCTACATCACAAATGTACGGTTCAGAGTGCAGGGTTTAGGGTTTTAGGCTTTTAGGGCTTAGGGTTTTAGGGTCTAGGGTTTTGGCGCTTTAGGTACACCTGCTACGGCACATGATTGACTTTGCCAAGGGGCGTAGATGGCTGGATCAGAGCCCTCGAGTTTTCTCCAGCGATGCACATTCCTCAGCTAGAGACAAGGGACAAACAACATCGCAGCGCTCTGCAAATCCCGGGTAGATCAGAAACAGTCTTCATGTACAGCATACTCATACTCCGCACCTGAACATGCACCTTGGCCACCACAAAAAAAAAAGGTCTGAGTGTCATTGGATTCTCCAGCTCCTCCGACAATGCCCGGACCTGCAAGGATGATACGCATGCGAATGTAGCCCTTAACCCTAAAACCTAAACCCTAAACCCCATTATAATTAGTAGTCTCCATTTTCTTTTCCATTATCCCTGTATAACCCCAATATAGAATCTAATATTACCTACTCAAAGAGCACATCAGCAGACGGCTTGGCTGTTCGCAAGAAACCATCGTTACCGCAGGAGATGAAAGCGTCATAGGCAAGCGAGCTTTCAAGTTCAGAAGGCATTCCTATCAGAAGGTGTTCCCTCCTTCCGGCAATCATGGAACCAGAAAAACCCCCTATGAAGACCACTGCTCTTTCTAGATGCGCATGATTATGAGCCCTGCGCCCTATCCCACCTTGGTCCTTTCCTGCAGAAGCTCTCGCTGTAGATGGTACACTTCCTGCAGCTTAGATTTCACTCTTCAGGGCAAGAGTCAGGGCAAAAGCCTCAAAAGAATATGCAGGGCTTCATTGTCCCATACGAAACTTGAATAGTCAAGCACTCCGAAAAAGGTCGAGATTTCTAGGTGGCCTTATGCATAAGAATTGACTAGCATGGACGGTGTTAAGGCGCCAAAGGATATTCTTGCTTGAATCATTGAATCTTTTGGGTAGCAACAGGCCCGCCTTCTCCAGCCCCTCTGCACTTTCGGCCTGTCGAAAAATCGCGCAATTCATGTCAGACGCTAGTCGCAAGATTCAAAATTCGTTCCCAAAAGACTACGGGAATGTAATTCTTATATCATTTATTCCCTTATTCTCCACCAAGAACCAGTAAGGTAATCTGGGCTGCAAAGGCATTGAATGATGCAGCCCGCGCTCCAGTCCAAACTGAGACGAAACCGTAGACCCTAAATCCTAAACCCTTCATGGTTAGTAGGGCTTAGAAGGGAAATATTACAGAGATTATGTAGGGATTTATATATAGGATTATATGTAGGGTTATATGAAGGATCTTATATATACATATATATATATAAGATTACACATGGCTTATTTATAGGCTTATATTGAGATTCTCTTTCTTTATTCCCTACTAACCACCTGTTAGTTTCTAGGAACTTGTCCAACGCACGGTCGTCTCCAGGACTTCCTCGACAGTCACTCCCATGCTAGGTAGGTATATTAGGAAGCGCTATGTATCCATAGCAGGAACTGCAGGGGATATAGGTTATACCCCAGCTATAACTTGAGCATTTCCTGCCTAGCCCATGCCCATCTCTTACATGGCATTTACTGCGAGAGGGTGTGCTTTGAGGCATCTTGCATCCTTGGGGGGGTACACGGCGTGCATACCAGAACTCATTGAGCCAATGCAGGGGCCTAAATAATTAGAAATGTCTTTTGGAGGTATCAAATACCATAAACACAGAGAATCTAGGGCCATGATATTGGCAACTTTTCAAGCTGCTGCATAGCCGCCTTGGCGAGATGAGTGCGTGCAAAACCGTACTTGGTAACTCTTCGTGCGACTTGAACCAGCTACTTCACCCAGCACTGTAGAGCAACCATCTGGAAGCATATCAGAAAAAAGCTCAATCCTTTTCTTTATGTGTGCGTACGTAAGGAATGACGGGCTACTAACTACTCATAAGTTGAATGCTTGCCCACACAATCTGCGAGGGTTAGCAACCCGGGAGCTCGCCTGTTGCCGGGCAATGTAGAGGTCCCGCTTGAGCCTTGACACTTCAAAGCAGAGACTGGGTTCCCAGACCCCCAAAGGGATCTAAAAGTTAGATCCCCTAGAACCATATGGGAAAATGTATAAGGATTATATAGGGGTTATAATGGGTCTATATAAGGGATCTAGTTTTCAGATCCTTCCAGGGGTCTGGGTTTTGAGTTTACGGTTTAGTGATCAAGCTGGGAACTGGGTAGACATGGATGTAAGCGTTCCCCCAGAAGTCTATGTCCATCATGCCGACCATGCAACAACACCAGCAGAAATTCTTCTGAAGGAACTACATCTCGAAAAGACACCACGACCCTGCAGAAATCTGCAGAGAAACAATTTTCCAAAACGACTTGACATCCCTAAGCCCTATACCCTAAACCCTAAACCCTAAGCCCTAAACCAGGACTCAGATCACCTCTCCCCTTCTGCATGACCTCTTGGATCCCTGCGTGCCAATGTTGTCGCGCTGCCCGCGGAGGCTATCCAACAGCTTCTTGTACTGGGCCTCTTCACAAAGCCCTTTTGGAGGAGGTCTAGAAGTTACAAAGGGTTTGCGTGAGGAGCTCCATTGAAGTTTTTGCACGGATGTCAACGGATTTGCTGGGTTTACAGATTTACTGTTTACTGTAGACCCATGATTACCAAACCCCTCCTTTTGAGGGCCTGAATTTTAGGATCCCCGTGATAATCCCTATTAAGGGGAGGGGGTGTATTCATCAGGGGTCTGGGCTAGGGTCTGGAGTTGCTACTAGGACACGTGGCTCCCTCCCAGGCTCACATGAGACATCAGTAAAGGCAACTGTGTTGCTGCGGAGGAATTAGGAGCCCTATACCCATCGAGGACTTGGAGGGCTTCGATTCGCAATTTGAGCGCCAAAGCTGAACCAGTGCTATATATCATGTTTCAATATTCTGGATTCCTTGTTCTGTCTGCAGAAGGGATCAACTTCTCGTAGAGGCATGCGGAGGCAACAAGAGAACTGCTTAGATATGTCTCTGTAAGGGTCTAGGCCAGGGACTAGAAGCCAGCTGGGCAATCCAATCCCAAAAGACGTTTGCGGTTGCTGATGAGGGTTTCTTTCACGAACCGCTGATCCCCTTAGAACAAGACTAGGAACAACATGTTGAGGGCTTCTTACGATTAGAGAAGAACCCAACGGACACAATTCTCCGTAGACTCCCATATCCCCCCCTGTGTGCGCTGCAGATGCGCAATCGTCTTCCACTAGAAAAAAGACGACCCAACGAGATCCGTGCATATAGTAGTTTCCCAAAACAAGGGACCCCCAACACTCCACAAAGGTACCCCCCATTTTGGGGAAACTTGCATTCGAGAGAGCAGGCCTCTCCCTTGTTCAAGGTGCTCTCCTTGCAATCAGCAGTTTGCAGTAGGGTTTAGGATTCAGGGTTCAGGGCTTCCGGCTTAAGACTTGAGGTTTAGTTTTCGTCTTGTCTGAGATGGTCGAAGCTGCGACTCCCGATCGGATGACATATCTTCGCGCCGCACTTCTACGACGTGCTGACGGGAGCTTTAGTATGACGTCTCTATACATGTACGCGCGCAGTCAATCCCTGCTGCTGCTTCTTCTCTTCAACTGTCAAGATACGTGAGTCTCTGAGAACCATGTCTTAAAAAAATCTGGACATAACTTCCACAGGTCCGGGAACCCTGGTGAAACCTTCACAAAGGCTGGCATACCCCCAAGAAAAGCGAGCGAGTCCTGAATCTTGATCTTCTCGTAGATGAGGGTGAGCTCCTCATTTCGGCGGATGAGCTGCTTGCCCAAGATGTTGCGCTCGGAGGTAACAGCCTGGTGATAACGTAGAGCCTGTAATTACTTGAACAGGCTGACGGGGGGAATATGATACTAAGCTGGTAAGTTTAGATGATGTTGTACCAGAATATTGATTTTCAGGGTGGTCCAACTGGCTGCCCGTGGAATCACACATCACATGTTCGTTCCAGTTCGACACTTGATTGCCTGCCTTGTTGTATGCACTTGCCAGATTAAAATGGCAATCCAGGGACCTGCCTGAGATGTAGGGAAAACTATCACATGTTTAGGGGGTTTACTGGCTCTACTGCGCCATGCGGGGCCTACATGAGCTATAGGAACATTATCGGTGACGATTCCGGTCCGACGCTGATTACCCTTACACTCTGATACCTGTCGCCTTTCAAAGCTATGCAAGCCACTCAACCCCAAAAACACCTTCTGCGTGTACATGTAAGAAAATGCCATGACTTCCCTGAAGAGCCTAGGCTTTGGCCCCTTGCAGAACGGAAGCACCTGTTGCACCTTTCAATGTCCTGCAGCGCACACCCAAAGTCCCCTTCCCCAAGCTTAGGATCACCCTACACCCCAAACCCTAAACCTTACACTAAATTCCCACCCGGCCTGCTTAGGCCGTTCCCACCCATTACTAGGGTGGTCAGACACTGAAGATACACGTGAGCCTATGCACCCGTACTGGGTAAGACAATGGGAGGAGCCTATGGAGAGTGGACGTATAGAGCCCCTCCAGGCTCTTCCCGCACATCGGGAGGCACAGCCTTGCCTCCAGCCACCCCAGT